TTCATTCTGAATTTCCCTCCTTTCTGGTTCTGTGACCCGAAGTGGAACATATGTAGCCTGTCTTATGTTTCCCAATGTACACATACATATAAGCATAGATATAACATAAAAGGAAAGCAAACACATACAAAAAGAAATGCAATAATTTTATTAGAAGGAGAGACCACCTCCCTCTACCACATTATGATAAATCATTGATTGATTATGCCATCATGTTGGTGTTGACTCCTAGCAATCACAGAGATATTATCCATTAAATACATACACAATATCTTAAAAATATATAGCCAATGTATATCATGCAATATATAGCAAGATAATCACTACATTAAAAAACTTAAATTTTAGATTTCTTTGTGAAGTCATCCTTTTTTTAACCCAAGAAGTCTTGATTTTCCCTACACAAATAATAAATTTTTCATAATGCAAGCCTAAAAATTCTTTTTGACCAAATTCAGCAGTTTGATAGTGCACTTGAGCCTAAGAAATGTCAAACTTATCAAGAAAAGATACTGAAAAAATAATCTATACAGATTGTGATCCAAGATGTATCTTTTAAATTAATCAAAATGTTTTAAAGTTGTGTACTACATCAAAGCATTCATTCTTATTTATGATTCATCTTAAAGTATAAACTCTTCATCACTAGCAGATTGCCAGAGGAAATCCTTTGCTGAAGTGCATTTTTATTTGAAAATGAATAAGGAAAGAATAAGACTCTTGCCAACTGAGTAATCTGTCCCTTATATTAGTTTTACATTTTTTAAAATGTTTCCAAAAGCTCCAAATTTTTAGAAATGTCCAGAGTGTTTTAAGTAATTTTATTGGAAATCTTGAGCAAATTTTTTTCACTGGCATACAAAGCAAATACAGTGATCCCCAAGTCCCCAGCTAAAAGTGACAAGAACTCCAAACATTCCAGTGAACAAATATAGTATATATAGAAAGAGAGACTATAAAAGCATCACCAAGATGTCACAAAAAACTAATTTATGACTTGATGGAGGCAATGCTGAGGTAATATGGGGCAACCTCAACTAGAAGACATTGGCACCTCTGCATCTGAATAGGTCTTCTCTGCCCATATATTTATACCAGTAGCACAGTGTGTTTTTCAGTTAACTAAACTTTATTATGGCAGTAGGGATGTTCTTCACTTTTGTCTCATGAAATGCCAAATGGTATTTGTTTCCTCAGCCATTACTCAGATTCACTGATTCAGTAGAAACATAACACCCAGCATAGGAAATATTACAAAAGTATATTTCCTTTTGTACAAAACAAAATGCCTACTGTAATAGTATGCTTCCTATTATGCTAGAACAGCAGATTATTATGAAATAATAATAGAAACATCTACATATCAAGTAATATGTGAATTTCTAGTTTAAAGAAAAGTGATAAAGCAGGTGCAGTAAATCCAGAATTATTGCTTCCTTCCAGTTCTTTGGGTCATTTAGAGTAATTCTTTATGAAGTTCATAATTCCAGAGAGAGGCTTCCTGAAAACATTTGCTAGAGAAAATCCTACCTTCAACGGTCACACTTATAGGTTGGTAGCCTAACAAGCATTATCTATAGGCAGAGACATTCTCTGATCCATGTGGTGTGCAAAACAAGGCATTCTGTTTGTGACATGATACTTCTAGGCCTAATAGGAAAAATTATTTAGTATAAAACTGAACAATAGCCTTATATGTAGCCAGTTGTCAGCTTCTGCTTCTGCTTTCTAATTACTGAGAAGAACTTAACCTCATAGTTTAACACACATTCATATATTGACAGATTTAATCGAAGCTTATTTGAGTATTAAAAAAGAACTATCAATACTGTAATAATGCATGTCAGGAACCATCTTGAATCTCACTATCTTCCTGAAGAGAACTTAAATATCATCAGTGGACACACTAGATTTGAGAAAATGTCATATAATTCTAGTGCCAGTGTACCTGATATCTGCTCTTTCCCTGAGTCAGTTTTACTGTTGAACATATTAAAATGCTTTTTGAGGATGTGGAAGATAATATCTGCTATGAAGCAATATAGAACAGGAGGACCCCAACCCCCAGTCCATGGCCCTGTGCTGGTCCACAGTCCATTGGGAACCAGGCCATGCAAGTGACAGAGCACAACATGAAGCCCAAGCAACGTGTGTGTGTGTGTGTGTGTGTGTGTGTGTGTGTGTGTGTGTGAAACCATCCCCTTCCTCTACCATTGCCACCGGTTTCTGTACTGGAAAGTTGGGGGGGCACTGATGTAGAATGTTTCAGACAAATGTAACGTATTATACTGCTTGTAAAGAACAATAAAACAATCTGGTGAATTCTAGATGCTTAATCAGGAATAAAAGTTTATGAAAATTGTCATGTACTCAAACAGCTACTACTCTATTGTCTTATTTAATTGCAGTAGGTTCCCTAGCGATCCATAGCTCCTTCTCAGGAATCTGAGAAACTTTGATTGAAGAGTTTCTCAGAAGGACTATTGTGCACGATTAGTGTATAGCTCATTAAATTCAAGATGCTGTGTTACGTTTTTCCTGTGGACTTGACATACCTCTATTATTTGGTTATTTTAGCTGCAATAAATATCCTGTGCTGTGGATTATATCAAAGATGTGATCATGTGATACATAGAGGAGCTCTTTTGTCTCAAGTTGTTTCTGTTAATTTTCTACTTTGAAATGTTATGACAAACCTCCTGGGATATTTTGGCATTTTATTTGAATAAATATGTACTTCCTTGGATAACATTTTTCTCTTTCATGAGATACCAACATTCAAACTCCCCAAATAAAAAAAAAACCCAGATATTTCTTCTTAATAGTCAAATTACATGTTAGGCTTTCAAATCAAAATCCAGCATTGCATTTAAAAATGCATTAATACTTCCATAATAAAATCATGAATCACACAAGTTATTTAGATTATTTTTATGCAAGACATTACTTCCACAGATAATGCTAAAATAGTAACAGAGTTTCTAAAAGGGTCATCTAGAAATGTGGAATTCCAAGTTATTAGCACACTGATGAACCTTAGCTCTTCTGTCTCTTCTTTCCCCCTTTAGCTTCTTGACAGGTGCATCGACTTGATTAGAGTTCAGAAATTAAAACTGAATGCAGATAAGAAAGAAGTGGTGTAAGATGGGTGGCTGTCTGCCTAAGAAATTAGAAGGCGGCCTCTGTATGGCTGTGTGTATAGCAAGTGGGTAAGGTGAGGGCACTACTGTTCCCAATGTATCATTAGAGGCATGGGTGTACTCCGTGGCAAGGGAAGTCTTGAGCTGCTTCAGCGAAGTTGTGCAGTCTTCAGAACTGAAGTAGTAAAGTGCTGCAGAATTGTGATGGACACTTTCTTACCTGCTAGCAGCTCCATAAAGAAGTCTTACTTTTTCTTATATATTCACAGTACCCATACAGATTCAGGAAAAGAATTGTCCGAATTCAGAAGGGCATTTGTGGTTTCTCATACCAAGAGAATTCATTAAATGAATTCTTAGGGAATGCCTTGTACCTTAATCAGATTCTCTTTTAACAATTGTTAGAAGAATCCTCTTCTGGCATCTTTACTGGCTTGGCAGAAGGTTGGACGGCCATCACTACCCCACCATGGTCTGTTGACCACATTTTGGGGACTCAACAATCAGCCTGCTTTTACAGTGTTTTGCAGTATTCCGCAGTCACATGACCACAGTTTGCAATGTTTTTGTCAGCATTTTACTTCCAGTTTTCAGCAAAAATGCCCCATAGCAAACAATTCACTTAATAATTAAGTACAGGTAGCCCTCGAGTTATGAGCACAATTAAGCCCAACATTTATATTGCTAAGTGAAACATTTGTTAAGTGAATTTGCCCCATTTTATGACCTTTTCTTGCCACATTTGTTAAGTGAATCATTGAATTTGGTAAGTTAGTAATACATTGTTTAGTGAATCTGTCATCCCCATTGATTTGGCTTGTCAGAAGGTTTCAAAAGCTGACCACATGATCCCAGGACACTGCAACTGTCATAAATATGAAGCAGTTGCAAAGCATCTGAATTTTGATCATGAAAAGCAGTAGTAAGTCACTTTTTTCAGTGCTGTTGTAACTTTGAACAGTCACTAAATGAACTGTTTAAGTCAAGGATTGCCTGTGTTTGCTTTACACCTGCTGGAAAAAAAATTGTAAAATTGGGTCAGTTATGTGATGGCTAATTTTATGGCTGTCATGACCTATGTGTGTAATTGGACAGCTTTGTTACTGTTGTAAGTTGAGGACTACCTATATTTTTGGGGTTGGCCTGCTGAGTTCACAGAATTGTACTCTAAGCAATTACTTTGGCTCCTGTGATATTGAGATTCAAGATCCCTTTATAAATCTGGCAAGTCTTCCTCTTCAGAACCATTTTAGAAGCTCCAAAATGCACAGAATGCACATGCTCACTTGATCTTGTTAAGGTGTTGGTGGAGGATCTGTTTTTCCTCTCTAGAGTTGTCAATGCAGAAATCTAAGCTGTGTGGCACTCTATTCATCCTCGTAGTGCATAGAAATTTTGCTGAAAAGCATGATTGAACTTACTGGTTTGATCTTTCTACTATAGTTCCATCCCTTTAGCATTTCAAGTGTAAAAATGTGAATAACTCATGATTGCTATTTTGCTCTGCATGCTGCAGAAGATGTAAATGTAATTAGCTTTTAGGAGATAGGTAAAATTTTTGATGTGGAAGAGAGAAGATTTGAAAGGGAATATGGAATGTGGCTTTCTTTTTCATATGTATCATTGAAATGTTTGTCCATTTATTTAGCTTGTGGCCTGGGGCAACTTCAGCAGAGCTGAAAAATGTCCCTGTTATGCAACATTCATAAAAAAGGAATGGGACTTCAACCTCATGCTGGGAGCTGCCACCTTGACGCTTTTGGCCTCCACTTATGGATACCTCTGATTGTGACTTAAAATTCATGTGTTGGAGCAACTGTTATGAGTTTCATTCTAACTTATGTCATTTTTTGTGTATAGATTGACTTTGAAGATGTGATTGCCGAACCTGCAGGAACCCACAGTTTCGATGGGATCTGGAAGGCCAGTTTCACCACCTTCACTGTGACAAAATACTGGTTTTATCGCTTATTGTCTGCAATCTTTGGCATTCCCTTGGCTCTTATCTGGGGCATTTATTTTGCCATTTTGTCCTTCCTCCACGTCTGGGCTGTGGTGCCTTGTATCAGAAGCTACCTAATTGAGATCCAGTGCATTGGCCGAGTTTATTCTATCTTTATCCATACCTTCTGTGACCCGTTCTATGAGGCTGTTGGCAAAATGCTGAGCTCTATCAGAGCAACAATAAGAAAGGAAGCATAAATGACATTTCAAGGAGCTGAAGAATGAGCTCCCCCCGCCCTTCATAGTTTGGTGCCAGTCTCAAGGCTGCCATAAATTAATAAAGTGACCGGCACTTAACAGCATCACTCCAAAAAAAAAAAAAAACCAACTTGAATGCAGCAAATAATTCCTTTTTAACTTTCTTCACTACTTAATCCCTCCTGGATCTATGCTATTTACTCTTTTCAGGAGGAAAGTCAATTTGCATTAAACAAACACAAACAAATTAAATAGCCGCTCGTCCATTTCACCTGCTTGTTGTTTTGCTGACCTTTGATGAATTGACTTCTATTCTGCTTACCCCTTCCATTCATTTGTTGCAAATTAAACTCACATTGATTATAATGCAGAACTGCAAATACCCTTTCCAGCACTATCACACTGCTCTTCATTTTACTGTGAGTAAAAGAAGTATAAAAGCTACTGCAGCATAATGCACATGGCAACAAGCTGGCAGATGTCAACAGAATGTTCCTTTTATAGATGTATTGTCAGATGACTGTAGCGCTTTACTGTAGTGACCATATCTAATTGCCACACACAGATTTAAAGAAATGACTACTGTAACATATGTGCTGAGAAAAAGGAGATCAAGTGTCTTTAAAAAGACAAAGCTTTCGATTCAAATAACTGGGCATGTTGACAAAAAGCTGCTAGTACTGCTTCTGTCTTATTTTGTAATCCCCATGAGAGAGTATTTGGATTATAAATATATAATATATGTCACTGAGAGAAAATGTAAAGGGGAACCTTAGTGCTTTTCTTTAACCAAATAATTTATGAAACCCTGTTGACACTGGCATGCGAGTGGACCCTTTTTCTTTGAAATCTTCTTAACTAGAAATGGCAGGATGTGAATAAACAGCTTTTTAGAAATATGACACAATTTTATCTCTGAACAAAGACTTCTAAAATGTTCAATCTATAAATCCAAAGTCAAGGTAGGATTTTTATTTTCTGAAAATGCTTCCATGAAGAAAATCCTTATGGTGTGCACATATTGAAAGTTAATTTATCCCTAGATTAAAATAGCAAGGACACTATTGTGTTTAATTTTTTTAGCATCATTCTTAAGAACAGATGTTCCAATTAATTTAAATAAAACTTACTACAAAGGGACTAATTATTCCCTTAAAAGTAGACAGCAAGGTATGTACAAATTGTGTTGAATCATGCCAACTATATACTGGGTTTTAAGAGTGATTTGGCTGTTTTCTATGAGAACAGATTTAAGAATCTTTAAAACAAATTCATTAAATCCAAGCAGGTCCCCCAGTCTGCTAGTTCTATTTACACATTGCTAACTTTTCCCTAACCATCCATACAAGTGGTTTAGGCAGCACTATGTTATAGTTCACCTTCCCCCACCCACCCTTTCTAAACTGAACTATACATAATTCAAGGAGCTTTCCAGGTGCATAAAACTGTATGAAAGATACAGAAATAAAACATTTATAGTGTTATTTAATAGTGTGTTGCAGAATCTTTACTGTCACCACAGTGACAATGAAGTGAGAGAATAGCTTCATTGGTTTTTCATGAATGTGCTGCTTTCCTTAAAGCTATTAAACAAGATCATCTTTCTTAAATATAAACTGAAGAATTTCAAAGTGTGTTCTGCTTTTGTTAGAAACTAGTTACAAGGGTGACTTACTTGGATCTTGAGTATCTAGAATAGGTTCCAGTTACAGCCCTAGCCTAATTAATAATAATGTCCTGACTAGTTTTTTTAAACTATCTGATTGCTTCAACCTGTCTATATTTTTAGTGCAAGTCTAAGCATAATCACTAAGAGATTGGTATCCATCAACCGAGGGAGGCAAGTACTGATCTCAAACATGTTGCTTATCTGAACTGGAGCTCAAATGGCATCTCTCTTCTACACCAACCTAAAGTTGCCCCTGTAAAATAAAAATAAAAATCCACTCGTATAACCTCAACGCTTCATCCTGCCATATGACAGGACCAGTTCTGAAGGGGAGATCTTCAGGGCAATTGAAACTAACATTTTACCAAAATTGTTCGGATAATCTGTAAATGCCTTGCTTTTTGCAAATACAGGTTTTACTAAGAATAACATTGGTGTCCTTCATTAATTACATTTCTACTACATTAGATAATTAATTGATTAGACTTATCTTTCATGTCCACGTGCATTGATACAGGACCATAGCAGCTCATTATTTTGAATAAAGGATGAACATTTTATTGACAATAGGCAATAGTTGCAGTAGATACAGGTGTAGAATCATCTTTTCTTTTATTACTGTCCTATACTAATAGTGTGTGTACCATATTTTTCGGAGTATAAGACACACCTTTTTCCCTCAAAAAAGGGGCTGAAAATCTGGGTGCAGCCTTATACACTGAATACAGCATTGTTTGCCTCCCGAAACCCTGCGCTCTTCACCAAAATGGCCATGCATAGCCTTTAGGAAGCTTTCATAGTGCTCCTGGGGGCTGGGGAGGGCAGAAATGAGTGAAAAATGGGCTGCTTTTTGCTCAATTTTGCCCCACCAGCTCCCAGGAGCACTCTGCAAGGCTCCTAACGGCTATGCATGCCCTTTTGTTGACAAGCATATTTTTTATAATGTATATAAATAAGAAATTTTGTTGCTTGTTTGGGGGGGGGGCATTCCCCAGGAGCAATCTACAAGCCTCCTAAAGGCTATTCATGCCCTTTTTTTGGGAAAAAAAATGGGCCCGTTTTCACGAAAAATGGGTCATTTTTTGGGAGGTCTGCAGAGTGCAATTTTTTTTTTAAATTTGCCTCTTCAAAACCTTGGTGCTTCTTATACTCCGAAAAATATGGTTTGTGTGTGTGTGTGTGTCTACAAATGCAAGTAGATGAAAGTAATGGGAATATAGTTATATACAGTTTGCTCAATAAATGTAAAATTGCAAAACTTTTGTTGGCCAAGAAATTAGTACAGCAGTCTTGGTAGTGCAGTAATTAAAATATCAGTATTGCAAGCAAACTCTGCACACAGCCTAGAGCTCGATCCTGATGACTCAGTCAAGGTTAACTCAGCCTTACATCTGACTTCCAAGTCAGAAAATGAGGACCCAGATTGTTGGGGCTAATATGCTGACATTATAAACTGCTCAGAGAGTGCTGCAAAGCACTATGGTGTGGTATATAGGTCTAAGTGCTATTGCTATAAGTGCTATAGAATATTACCCACAAATATCAGTTTTACTAGGGAGCAAATCCCTATAAAATTTCAATCAGCTTTCAGTACTGTAACTCTAAACACTAGAAATAGACATTTTATAAAAGTGCTTTTTGTGTCTTGAACACCAGTTTTTGAAATATAAATAACTTTATATGTTTTCTTTTTGCATTTAAAACATACACTGGTCTGGCATATTTTTTATAATGTATATAAATAAGAAATATTATTTAGATATATATCTATATATCTATATAAGTTGTAATACAGCAACAACACACTTTTTGTGAGAATGTAAACATATTTTAGTTTTATATAATTAAAAAAACACTTTGAAATATATTGCCTAGAACGGTATATTCAGAAAGTGCATCCCAAAGCGAATAACATTAATGATTCAAGATATTCACATATGCTTACAAGATGTAACAGCCATTTTTTTTTATTCTGCATGTTCAATAGCCATGGTTACAATCTGCACAATAAAAGCTGTTTTAATACAAACACTGGTCTAAATCATTCTTCTCTTTAAAAAGAAGTTCTCGCTACTAGTACAAGATTTTGGATAGTTTTGAGAAACTATAGTCTGTTCACTGCATCTTCCATAATGGTAGTTTGTTAAAGTCTGAATAACTATGCAGATTGATCGGGTTCACGCTTTGATGTAGAATGGCCAGGTTCACCTATTACACTAAGCCATGGTCTGTTTAGCTTTGGTTTTACTCCATAAGCCATACTTATCTGATTGCCTCAACATACCACAATTGCTGATTTCATACAACACTAAGCTAAAACCAACCAGTCCACATCATGACTTAAGACAATGACTCAATTTCTCAATTTTGGGGAGCTGGTGAGTACATCTGAAATTTAGAGAATGTGGAATGTTTCTTCTTGGACAATGATTGCCATATTCAAAAAAATCTGCTTGACTTCTGTAACACTCTTGTTCCAGAAAGCACTTGAAGGAAATGAACTATCTGGACCCATTCAGTTGGGTTTTAGACTGAAGTGCAGTACAGAGACAGTATTAGTTGCACTTGTTAAGCTGTGACAGAATAGAAGTACTGCATACATTTTTGTATTCTTGATCTTTCAGCAGGTTTCAATACCACCAACCATGATATCTTTCTGAGGTGGCACAGTGGTTAGAGTACAGTACTGCAGTTTACTTCAGCTGACTGCTGGCTGCAGTTCGGCATTTCAAATCTCATTGGCTCAAGGTTGACTCATCCTTCCATCCTTCAGAGGTGGGTAAAATGAGGACCCAGGTTGTTGGGGAAATATGCTGACTCTGTAAACTGCTTAGAGGGGACTGTAAAGCATTATGAAGCGGTATATAAGTCTTGCTATTGCTATGACTTAGTCAACTTACAAATTGGCTACAGTAATACACTCTATATGAGTTATATGCAGTACAGTGCAGTGACCCATGTGCAGATCTGTACATTGGGAAAACAAAGCAACCAATTCATAAATGCATGGCACAACACAGGAGAACAAACCCATCAGAGAAAGTTTAAGAGGCAAAGGCCACTTTTTTGAAGACAGCAAAGTCCACATTTTGGACAGAGAGGACCACTGGTTTGAAAGAGGAGTCAAAGAGGCCATCTGTGTCAAAATTGAACAGCCCTCTCTCAACAGGTGGAGGGATATGACATCATCTATCTCCAGTCTACAACAAAGTCCTTTCAACAGTTCCAAGAAGGCTCCCCACTCATTTGTACTACTCAGGTGACCATGACAACACAGATAAACCTCCAGGTGGCCTCAAAGACTCTCTAAAATAATGCAAATGACCAGCTGTCTACAAGGAATATAAATCCTTCCATTCCTGACCATCCAGTCAGAGTTGAAGAAATTTCTTGAATGAGAAGTGAAATGTCTTCAAAGAAAAACAAAAAAGTCCAGTTGCCTCTTGGAAAAGGACCTTTGGAGTATAAGTCTAATTGTAGATTTACCACTTTCTCTAAAATTACATCATGATTCTCTTCTTTCTATAATCCATCCTATTTAATCATGAAAACCATAGAACATGTTTATTTTTTCTGTTTAATGCAAGAATCCCATAAGGGGTTTCCAGACAGCAATAAACATAGATGGTATTGTCTTTTCTTTAATTAGCAAGTTCTTTCATCTTCACCAAATATTCCTCCATTTGGATATTGCCAAATCTTTCCAAATTTGTGCCTATAATAACCCCAACTGTTGTTTCCATATATAAAAACAAAATTCCATGACTTTTTTCCAAATGTTTATCCATCAGTTCTTTGTATATCAATCTTTAAAATCCTCTGAAACAATATTGCATATGCACTTGAAGCCAAAATCATCTAACTTTTTTGCATGTCCATCAAGCATAGTAAAAATGACACTGCTTGCAGTGGTGAAATTCAATTTTTTTACTACTGGTTCTGTGGGCATGGCTTGGTGGGCATGGCAGGGGAAGGATACTGCAAAATCTCCATTCCCACCCAGAAGTGACATTTGACAATTCTCCGAACTACTCAAAGTTTCCGCTACCAGTTCTCCAGAACCTTCTGGATTTCACCCCTAGCTGCTTGTAATTCATATTTCCAACATAGATTTGAACGCTTTTATACAGGACATTCTAGATAATTTTTCTAGTGATCATACATACAAGAGCCGAGGTGGCGCAGTGGTTAAATGCAGCACTGCAGGCTATTTCAGCTGACTGCAGTTCAGCAGTTTGGCTGTTCAAATCCCACCAGGCTCAAGGTTGACTCAGCCTTCCATCCTTCCGAGGTGGGTAAAATGAGGACCCAGATTGTTGTTGGGGGCAATATGCTGACTCTGTAAACCGCTTAGAGAGGGCTGAAAGCCCTATGAAGCGGTATATAAGCCTAACTATTGATACAATATATCAATGTTCCATCATTTAGTTATACTAGCAGTCTTTGAATATCTGGTTTTGTTCTCAGGCCCCGGATTAGAATGGTTGCTGAGCCCCTAAATGTAATTATTTTAGGGTGGGTTTTTTGGTGTGCTGTGTCTATTCCTAAGTTTATACAGTTCTTTTTTATGTAATTGTTTCATGTTTTTAGAAGTAAGCCTTGTATAGATTGGACAGTCTCTGTATAAATAAATATAAGTAGACAATATGCTTGAAGAAGTACTACATCATGGATTTATCTGTTCAATTCTGAACTCTGCAAACAAGCATAAAAAGGAATGTGACTGAGAAAATACCTTCAGTTTAAGGTGGACATTGGAGACACTGCACACCAAGAAATCAAAAATGATTTTCATAAACATTTAAAGCTCTGGATTTATTACACAGAGAAACACATACACAATAGACAGAAAGTATTGAGTCATTGGAAAAGGAACAAGGGACCAGAGTAAGCTGATGGGGTAAAGAATGGAATCTGCTGGTGGTGAATAGAATATAATGGCAGAGGCTGACTGAAAGTCTCGCAATAATTGAATAGCTAGCTACAACTGAAAGCAGAGTGCCGAGACGGCGAAGTAAAATAAAATTAACTGTTCAGTCTATATCTCAGTTATTGTTCTTTATAACTCTTTTTGGTTATAGTTTTCTCTACTTCCTTTCTGAAAGAGGACTGAGCAAAAGAGACAGTATATAGTAAGTAAGTAAAATCTTTATTACGGTCAAAGACCGTACACATTAGTTTTTACACTATATTAAAAAATACATATATATTTGTACATTAAAAAAACCTAACCTTCAGAGACAACCAGTCATTGTCTAGAATGGTCATTTATGGTCATTTATAGGCTTTCACTAGGCTGCCATTAGGACATTGGAGAGATGCCCATTAGCTATCAACAGATAAATCCAGTACAGCTAGGATTGGCCACAAGAGTATCCTTGCCACTATTGCCAAAGTAAAAAAATCCCTCATTACTCTCAAGTTGAATG